CCCCAAAACCCCAAAACCCCAAAACCCCATATAAGGAGTGGAAAATTGAGTAATAGTGAACAATTAATTATTTGATTCCTTCTAAGACGCAACAAAAATGGCAGGAGAACAGATTTCCCTTATCCCAGAAGCCAAAGTGTTGGCTTCTACAATGACTAAGATTAATAAAGTCTCTAGAGCTGCCTTCAGCTGTAGGGATTTCATAAGAATGGGCCTTGATCACTACTTACATCGTATTCATTTATATTCAGAGTGTCATGAGTCATGATTTGTGATAGCAATGATTTTGATTGACAGAGTCCTTGAGGAATACCGTGCTAGCTCCAAGTCTCTCCCATTCAATGTGTATACGTAAGTATAGCTACTAGATTCTTGCATTCACCTTGCTTTATCCTTCTGGAGTCATAAATTCTAACCTGTTTGTAGGCTATGCCTATCTTCAGTAGTCCTCGCAATCAAACTCACCGAGGATGATGCTTGCAATAATGAGTTTTACGCAAGATTAGGAGGTGTGTCTAACCAAGAAATGCTCGAGCTTGAACTTCAGCTGCTGCAACTGATAGATTTTAATTTAGTCATCTCCAAGGAAGAGTTTACTTCTTACCAAAGAGAGATGGCTTCGTACCAGGGATAATTACATTCCCTTCGTAATAACATCCCAGGAGGATCCTTAAATTGGGATGACCTTAATTCGTTATATAAAAATTCAGACTTTAGCTAACTCGTTCCATTTCTTTGATTCATTAAAATTTGGAAAGGGTATTGGATTTTTGCTAAACTTTAGGTCAAGTTTCAAGTTTAGCTTAATATGTCTCACATATGTTCAAATATGTAAATTTGGTACTTGGAAGAGCCCTTGCTAGTGGAGATGCATCTTTACTCTAACTCAGCTTCCTCACTTTTTAAGCTAAATATTATCTTTGTCTGAAGCCAAAAGTTGTTGTCAGGGATTAAGAATAAACTCTATGTGAAGATTGGATAAGGAGGTGGTATTTCTTTGGTTTGGGGGTGAAGTGAGATTAGGAGGACATGTTTTGGGGGTTGTTTAGAGTGATTAAGGCAAGATTTGGGGATTGTGTTGTTGTTTTAGTGGTGTCAAAGACTGTCTTTGCTTATCTTTTAGGTCTAAAGGATGAAGATTTAGATATTGTTGGGATTAAACAAAGAGAGTTTAATGAGGGAACTTAAACTATAACTGTAGGAATAGAGACATTCAGGATTTTAGTCTTTTATCATTGTGAAGTGTGCTCATCATAAAATCAATTGCATCCAAAGAAGCGTTAGTAATCAAACGCTTCAGCCCTTTACTCTTCACCTTCGGAAACGTGTACCCTCTCCTGTCAGCCAGTCTATATCCATCAGGCCACTCTGTCTTCGAAGGCGTCCCAAGAATAGTTCATATTTTTATTGCATCTGGTCTAACTCTGACTGACCCGGAAACAGTGGAAACAACATATACAACTCGGCCATGATTCACCCAATTGCGAATATGTCTACCGGAGCGTTGTAGCCTCTGGACCTGAGCACGCACTCAGGCGCCCGGTACCATCTGGTGGACACGTACTCAGTGTACGGAGGCGCAGACTTGGTTTCCCGGATCAATCCGAAATCAGAGATTTTGAGTTTAAGATCATCCGACATTAAAATGTTGTCAGGCTTGAGATCGGGATGGAAAAACTTATTTTTGTGAATATATTCGACTCCTACCACAAGCTGGTACATGATGTCTCTGATTTGTGATTCTGTGAAGTTATTGCCAGCTTTACGCATGCCTCTCACCAGCTTGCTTGCTTACCTATATTACCCTGCTGATTTTTATTAGTCAGCTCACTTTCTAATTTATTTTTTTCTGCTTTATTTCTGTATTATTTTCACCTTAAACTTTTCAATGCCAGTTTTCTATATTGTAAGAAATCGTGTTTGCATTATTTAAGCTGCTTTATTCTCTAACTTTCGTCTAATTAAGTCTCTGAGGCAGCAGCCGCAATGAACTGTCTTCATATATCTGTAAAGAATTTGGGTGATTCTTGTAAAAGTTGTTACAAATTTAGGATAAAACTGTAAGGAAATACCCAAAAGTGCTCAGGAATTATTTATGGGTGAATCAGAATTATCCCAGGCTTGCTAATTGTACGATTAGATATGGGAAACTTTATTAGAGCTTGTATCATTCTTATTTGAGCAAAAATATTACTGATCTGGGTATAAGTCCTTAACAGATGTGGCATTTTTGGAAAGACCAGAAACAACCAAAAGAATGCTCTATTGATTACCAAAATATTCATTATTTCAAAAAAGGAATTTAGGGACAAATTTCAATCTAGGTGGGGTAAAATGGGGTTTTGGGGTTTTGGGGTTTTGGGG